ATTTGATTAAAAATCAAATATATCATGAAAGGACCAAACACATTGATGTTAGATATCACTTCCTTCATGAGATTGTCTCAAGGAATTGTCACAGTGAAAAAGGTTGCTACAGTAAAGAATCCAGCAGATATGTTTACTAAGCCGGTACCAATGCTCAAGTTTAAGCATTGCTTGGCGTTTGCACTGCTTGAGTAGTACTCTGGTATTTAGCGAAAGCAGCGGTCAAGTTCACTTTGGTTGTATGGCTTGATAGAATACAAGTCAAGGTGGAGATTTGTTGATAATGACTTGTATTTCAAGTCTAATTTTGATTTCTTATTTGGAGAATTTCGGTGGGCAGTCCATTGCTCAAAAGGAATTGTTTGGAGAAGTTTGTTTTGGAAACAATTCTTATGCAAGATGTCACTTTTTGGTGTCAACTTGGGAATCAATATTCTAATGGAATTAGGAGCAATTTTTTTGTCATTATTGGACTTTGATTGCTCCAAGTATTTTAAGGGAATTTTGTTTGTCTAGATGAAGGTGAATTTATGTCCTCTCCAAACAGCTTGCCAATGGCGATGTCAAGGATAATTTCGATAAGAAAAAATTTGGTTTTGCTCTATTTTGTTTCTCCCATAATTTCTATGTTATTGGAATAGAGCATGTGGATGTTATCTTGCCTTTGTTTCGCAAATTTTGCAATTTCCAACCTTTGAATAGTGAAATCTTGCCGCTATATTGCGTTCACGGGCGTAAGCTTGTTTGTTAAGCTGAACCACGTAAATTCTATGTGTTCTATATTTTTTATTTCATTGCGCTATTATTTTGCTTGTGATTTTGGTTTATAACAGGTTTTATGAGTGCATTTATTTTATTGTTATGAGTATATTAGACATTTGATTTCCAAATGGACTTTTAGCCAAAATCTTTTCCCGCTTGGACTTCCAACCTAATAACTGTTAAAAGGTGTACCATCTTCCAAATTTCCCTTAAAAAAGCTGTTCGGCTTCTCTTGGGCTTGAGTTAAAAAAAGTGAAGTGGGCTGAGCTTGATTGGGCTTTTGATAAACCCAAGAATTGACCCAGATCTTCCGAGTTATGTTGTGAACTGAGAAGACAGTCATCTTCTTCAACGCAGTCGATTAACAAAAGCCCTACCTCCAACTGTGCAGACAACGAATTTGGAAGAAAAAGGGCATGAAATCGAGAAATGAGATTGGTGTGTAGAATGTGTACATCCTATCACCTATTTATATTAGTTTGATATTGATAATAGGAAAAAAAACATATTAGGAAAGTAGAAAATATGACACTTCCAAAGAAGAAAATCTAATAACAAGGACATTTAACTTTGGCAAAGCTATACATACTTCGGCTAGTTGCTATCAAGACCCCACACATGATAGCTATACAGAATGTCTAAGTAAACAGTATACTACATGCACATGTTTATATATCCCACAAAGAAATAAATGGAAGTGGTAGACTTACAAATATTGCAATCCTTTCATTTGTGCTATGTAATTTGGAATTGTTCCACTTATGTTACAGCTCCTCAACATCCTAGAACATACACCAATCCATGCAAATAGTACTGCTGGAAATGCAAATTCAAAAAAATTCTGATTTATTTGTTTGCAAATTATTAGTACGCCTTACAATCTTTTCATCCCTGTCATGTTGCTTCGCAGTGGAAATATTGAACTCCCTCCATGTAAGTCGCTAATCCTCCTGCATAACGATCCCCTTGAGAATATATTCATTTACCAGTACTTTTCCTTATTTCGACAGTATGAAAGGAATGCAACCCAAGAAGCAAGAAAAAAAATGGCTTAACTTACAGTTCAGTCAAATTACTTAAGACAAAAAGGCTAGAAGGTATAGGCCCTTCAAAACCACTAGCTTGGATCTCTCTGTTGACAACAGATATCAATAGATTAACATTATATCAGAAAAGTCTCCAGGTAAAATATATGGATGGTAACTGAAGTATGCCCTCAATCTCATTGTGGTCCCTCGACTTATGTTTGTGTTATTGTGGCCCTTAAGGTCTCTAGTTTGTTTATGAATTGTTCAATTGCTAACTTCCGCCCCAATAATCAAAATGGAAGTGGACCCATGACAGTCATTATCGAAGACACAAAAGCCTTATCCATTAATTATTTAGACGGAAATTAGCTCTTGGACCATTTAAATATAAATTGAAACCAAGCAACACAATTAGAAGATGAGGGACAGAGTGCATACTTCAAGGATTGCCAATGGATTTTATCCTTATTTTAATTTATTAATGAATGTTTTGACTTACAGCTTTTGAAGTTGTTTCAAATTCTGAAAACTAGGTAATTTTCCAGTGAAGTTGTTGCTGCTTAATCTACTGAAGAAGCCCACAACAACGACAAATTCCTAAATTAATAATAACAAAAAAAATCACATTTAAATTCTAGAGAAAATATCCCCAATATACTCACAGTTCTGTCAAATTTGTCAGGTTAAAGACCTTCATTGGCAACTCTCCTGTGAGATTGTTGGCATTGAGAATGATAGACAAACCAAGAAGGAAAAATAAGGTATTAAACCAGCATATGCAATGTTTTTATGGATAATTGAAACAACTAAAAGCAAGAATTGGTGCTAAAATTTAAAAATGAGAAAGCCTGACAGGTTCACTAAGTTGAACAGTTTCCCAAGCTCAGCTGGAACAGTTCCATTGAACATGTTGCTCTCTAGGCTCCTGAAATTCATTTTATTTCAAAATTTTAATAAAAGTAAAACCTATATACCATCAAGTGATTCATTTCTTTCAAGAGTGGGTGTTCGTGGGCGTGGAGGGGTGTTTGAGAGAGAGAGAGAGAGAGCATACATATATATCAGAGTGGTTATATTTCCCAAGTACTTTGGGATTGGTCCTGACAAGCGATTTCCCCCTACAGACCTATGGAATCCTCATTTCGTTAATTCTACAAAATGGACCCTGTAGCATGATTTGGATAATCTTTACCATGAAGTGCAGAAATAGCTTACAAATATTCCAACTTGGTAGATGCCCATTCAGGGTGTATTGTACCGGATAGGTAGTTGCGAAAGAGATCACTGTAGACAGTAGATAATATTATCATTTGAACAGAGACATAAAAACTGATTAACATGTATGAAAACATGCACAAGTTTGGAGGCTTCTCATACATGTTCCTGAGGTAGGGTAGCTTCACCAAGGATGGTGGTAGAACACCAGCAAGATCCTGCCCTTTAAGAATTCTGGTTTGCATAACAACAGGGGTCCTTAAATTTCAATGTTGCTTATGAATCAAAAAAAAATTAGTTATTGCGGAAGGTGCTCCATGCAAAATTCAGTCAATATGAAAATTGAGTTTTTCCAAATGTTAACAAGACAGAGCAATAAACAAATTAAAGTGAAACCTTGGGTAAGTTCTAGTCACAGAGCCTGGAGAAAAAACAAGAGCAACATTTTATGTATCCAAAGGTCCCAATAGACCAAACTCCTCAATTGTCATTACAAATTTATGTGCGTGTGTGCGTGTGTATATATATGGCTCCAAAAGAAAAGCCTGGTCATATGCCAGGATTGAAATTTTGTGTTGTTTCCACCCAAACACCCAAATCATTTCCATTTCAATGGAAACCGAAACGAACCAGTGATGAAAAATCGTAGTTCCCACGTTTCGGGGTGTTTTGGCCGAAATTTTGGGATGTTTTGGCCACTATTTTGGCATCAAAATTCTGAAACTTTATTCTGGAAAGTTTCTGTTTCTGAGCTAACCTAAACTAAACACCGAAACGAAATTTGATCCTTCGTCATATACAAGTCACGACTTTAAAAGATTGTGAACTTTTTCTTCCACTTGAATTTGAATATGTTTTTGGACCAGCACCACCTTAAATGATGTCAAAACTTCATCATATGGTTTCAAAATGCATTCAGTTTTTAAGATTCCTTCAAATCACAAAAGAAAAAAAAAAACAATACTTGATATCATTGTTAAGTTAGTTATCATATTTCCTTGTGGTTTACTCAAGAAGACAGATTCTACTTCGAAATGCTACAAAAAGAACCAGATGATACCAACTCCATGGGACATTGGACCACCCAAATAGAGCAGAATGTCTCCATGCCAACCATGGAAAGAATACAACATGCATAGAAAGGGTGGAAGCCCTCTCCCAGCTTGAACGTAGCAGTATATAATTCACATACCAAAAATAATTTGGGTTGGTATGCATGGTTGGCAATGTTACTGAGGAAAAGAAAAGGTATTAAAGAAATTTTTACTCAGTTATTTAGACCCTCATCTAAATTTCTTGTTCTAACTTGGCTTGGTGATACACGTCAAGGACTTTCTTTGTGTCAGATGAGATAGTACTAGTGCATCTTATAAAATAGCTTGGGACAGTCTGCGTGCAAAGAATTATCAAGTTTGAATTAAAGGCTAATAATCTTTAATCGAGATACACACTGAAAAGATTTTAAGCACATAACCAGTATAGTTTTTTCTCATTGATAGTTTGTTCTATATGATTTTCCAGAAGCCGTCACATAGCCAAACTACAGAGGTGAAACCACATTCCCTTTAGCTGTTCTGTGATTGTTGCAACAATAGTCATTATGAAATTAGCACCACGAGGTCCACGACTAGAAGTAATATTGGATTGGCGCTAGATTCTTGTGCCATTTGCCGTAGTATGCACAATCCATCATATACGATCAGTGGACATCCACAGGCATGTAACTAAGAAATAAAACCTTGAGGTTTTCACATAAAGCATGAAATCAGGCTTTTTCCATGTTTATTGTAATATTGTCTTCTAAAACAAATAAAAAGAAAAAGATCACGGACAGAACATTGATTTACTCATCATATTATGCCTTCAAAATTAGGTAGCACAATCTCAATATCATTTAGAAAAAAAAAAAAAAGGATGTTGTCCAACATCATCATTAAGTTCATAACCCCTATCCAAGAAGAACAGAGGAATTTTTATAGTGTAAAAGGAGCATACATATGAGTGACATGACATTCACCACCATTGTAATTGCAATTGCAGTAGACAGTACTGTTGTAGAGTGGCATTTCACTCCTTTTTGGTGTTACCCAGTACGTGCTATTATCACATGGATTATGATTGAAATTCCAATCTGTTTTACGCAACTCTTTAGCTATATCACGAAGAGCATTAACTGCACAGATCAAACTCATTGATTAGTTGGATAAAGTTCAACAAGTACGCATTTATGTACATATGGATAGACATGCTGAAAATCAGAATAAGGGCAATCTTTGAGATTTGAGGAATTTGTTGTTAAATGTGCAATACTTAGAAATAAGATCAGGCATTTAGGAGTTCTTATTCAAAACTTCAACAGAATATCCCTACAAGTTGAACCTTAAATAGAGCTCATATTAAACAATCCTTAGAAAAGTTCTATATTTATTTATCCAGATTTCTTCACTACATGTGTGTGTGTGAGAGAGAGAGAGAGAGAGAGGAATTCAATTGCCAAAAATTTGACCAAGACAAGAAGACCAATAAAACTCTAAGGCATATAATTTTCATCCAACTTCCGGAAGATTTCATTGCAATAACTTCACAATAATATCCATGCAATTTTATGGTTGGTACACTTAACTCAGGAAAAGGGAAAACTTGGCCAATTTTATTGGCACTCTGTTTCGTTTTCCCAAGATACTGTAAATTCTTACCTCTTTGGAGTGCCTAAGGTTGTTTCTGGATTTCTAATAACAGCCATATTAAAGCTTAGTAATTAGGCAATCTGTCCTAGCAGAAAGAGCAAAGCCCCTAGGACAACTTATGCATGTGACCAATTAAGTCTCAGAAGCCAATAGGCAATGGGAATGCCCCCAATTGCCACCAAGAAACAAACAGAGAAAAAAGGTTTCAATGGCTCGTTTTACATCATCTTTTTTTTTTTGGAAAGTAAAGTAATTCCATTAAACAAAAGATATAGATATACAAGCAAAGGGATGACCCTTCCAAAAGTGTACATGGAGAACATATAAGCACTGCATCGCAATAAGGCTTGCACATAAAGAATTTTGACGGAAGTAAAGGCCTTGAGCCAACACTTCCAACCAAATCCTTCTTCCGAAACCTTAAATTACAAGAATCAATCATTCTAAACAAGAACTAGGAAAGTTCCATGCTGCACAAGTTGCTGATTTTCAGGAGTTAGCTTGAACTTCACCAAGGATATTAAACAATCAACCAAACTATCTTGATTTGAGTGAAGTGGGGATGTATTGAGAGGCTATGTACTTAAGACTTTCAAACAAAACACTTTCAAGCTTGAAGGCAAAAAATGAATACAAAACATGAAGAAAAAACACTCTTACTTTCCTCTTTAGGAGGATATCCAGGCTGAGCATGGATGCCAGTTGCTTCAAAGCATATCAGTATACACCAAATGAGCACAAGAGTCAAAATTATCTTTTCAATGTCAAGAACTAATGCCATCTCCTCTTACAATTCCTTGAGCTAACACATGCATAGCTATATATAACTAGACAGCCAGATTAATCCAAGAATGAGAAAGCAGCTTAAAGACTATCAAGTTGGATAAGGTGAGACGTGGACATCTCAAATTATATGCCTGTGATAGTCGAGCTTTCTCACTTGTACTGTGTTTTGCAGAAGAAATTGAATAGTCACTATGTAGTTCTTTTGTATTCCTTTACTCCTGTCATCCTGTGTAAATAAGCAACATCATGGCCCACCCTTTCAGATCATATATACCTTGATACAGACCAACTCAAACAATTGATGGTCTATTCAATTGATTTTTGGGAGGTTTTTGAATTGGTCTGCCTAGTTGAGGCTTTATTGGAAAACCCTCTTTAGTCTAGTGTGGATGGCTGGCATACCTATATTTCTTGTTTTAATTGGACTCCTTACAAGCGATGCTTCTATCTACTATTACATAGAAACAATCCAAGCTATTAATGAGTAGATGAGACCAATAAATTCGCCTTCACCCATTAAACTATAGGAGAACTCCTTTAAGATCACAATTCCATTAGACTGAGTATTATGGTCTATTATGAAAAAGAAAATGCTTTGCACAAAGAATTTCAAAGCAACTCAGCTCAACAAACCCTTATCTAAACTATTTGAATACGACTAAAGGAATCATGTTCGGCCATTGTGATTTATTAAAGATCATATGATCTGTCAAATTGCAAGCTATTATTTTTATTTTTCTCAATATCATTCAAAGTTAATTTCAGTCTATCTTGCACTACGATATGAAAGTATCACATCACTCTCACTCCCGGTGCAGTAATCAATCCTCTACCAACATATAAATCATCTAAATCGATTCTTTCTTAACTTATTTTATGAGCAATGCAATTTTGAACTAATTTGCTTACTTAATACGTCACAACTATTAGGTTGAATGTGGATTTGGGATCCGTTATTAATCCAATGGCTGTTATACATTAGGTGAGTAAATTCTATCGTCAAATTAGGTCTAAATAATATTATTGATCTACTCAGAATATATTATTTAAAAATATATATTAGGTTCTTTATTCAAAATCCTACTCAGAATATAATAAACCATTGTTCTCAAAATATTATTTAATTCGGTTCATGTCACTTTGTTCAATTCTAAACAAAATGTAATTCAATTTTGCATATTGTTTATCTTCAAAAAAGAAAGAGACATCGCTGTTTCATATCATAATCATGAAATAACGGCACTGTAAATTCACAATTGCATCAAAAGGTTCCATTAAAATTTATATGCCTAAAAGATTAACAGTTTAATTTGCTTGAAGCTTTTCCAAAAGTGAAAGATTCTTCAATAGTGGAGTGGGCAGCCAAATTACTCAGATAATAGACTGTCAAAATCCCAAAAATATTGAGGAACAGAAACATGAACCATTAGTGCAAGACCAGTTTCAACAATAGGCCGATGTTTGTGTTCCGCGACCCCGTTTTGTTGGTGAGAATAAGGATCTAATAGGCGATGGCCAATGCAACACTTCCGTAAATAGGTGGATACAGTCTGATATTTTTTGTCATATTACTGAAAAAAATGATATAAATAGTTACAACAATATTTATAAAAACACTCATAAATGTAATAAATCATTATTAAAAGTGATAATTTTTTTGTACCAAAAAAAATAATAAAAATAGTTATTACAATTGTAATGAAAACGCCCACAAATAATTAATACATGGGACGGAAGATAGAAATTCAAACATAGAAAAATAATAAAAATATTACAAAAAAATCTAACGTAGTTTAATACAATATATCTATTAGGTACATAGTAATTATATTCACCAATTAAAAATTTATATCGATGATAGTTGAAGAGGTTGCATCAAATTTTAATAAAAATTATAAAAATACTTATTAATGTATGAAAAATTTAGGGGTATAGATTTTTTTTTTTTTCAGTATCGTGGTCAAATCGTTATTGAAATGACCCAACATGGACAGTACATAGATATCTCAGTACATGGCATCTCTTTCACAAATCGGAAACCAGTTAATTATGCAAAGACTTGGACTGAGTCAGCTTAAAAACAACAATGAACAAAAGGTACGAAAGAATTGAATGGGGTCTGGACCCAGATGGACTTCGATTCATAGACTTGTACATATTCTAAAGATATCACAATCAGATTTAAATATATTTGAGTTATTTCAATGACATTATATTTTTGAATTAAATTTTTAATTTTTAATCGATTCGAATATAAGACGTGAGATTCAGTTTAAATCCTATTTATTGATGAGAGTTACTCACAAGGACCACCAACAACCTTCTTCAATTTCAGACAAGCCATGTTTGTGTTGACAATTCAACCTCATCAGGCTGGCCTTTGTCCATTGCTTGTACTAATCTGTGCCTTCATTCTCATTGGGTGGTAATAAATATGAAAGATTAGACTACGGTCCTAAAAAAAAAAAAAATTCGGTACAATAACTTCAAAATTTATTATTTTAAATAGTATTTTTATAATTTTTATAGATCAGTTTATAATTAAAAAATTATTATTTTTGTAAGTGTTTTATCATATTTGTAGATATTTTTATCACATTTGTAAATATTTTTACTATTGTTGTGGTATCTATTTTTTACTATTTTTTTGGATATTACAACAATAGTAAAAATACTCATAAATATAATAAAAATAATCACAAATGTGACAAATAAAAATACCGGAAAAAATAAATTTGATATTGTAGTTTACTCTAAATATGGAATTTATGAGTCCATATCTTCATTCACGAACTGTGCGTGTGTTAGAGAGAGAAAGATATGAATGATACATCAATCATCGAAGCTCTCAATGAAACTGATTTGCATATCAGTCTCCATTTGTTATTGATTTCTGCATGATGTACATAAAGAGACTCAGAATAATTACAAAAGGGGTGTGTGTAGTTGTTTTAGAGCAACGACAAAAGGGGTGTGAGTGATTGTTTTAGAGGAACTACAAAAGGGGTGTGAGTGCTAGACCACATCCACTTGATAGTACTATCTTTAAACATGTGGTTGATTTAGAGATTTCTGCATAGTATACGTAAGGAGATTTAGAACAACCGCAAAAAGGGTGTGTGTGGTTGTTTTAGAGCAACTACAAAAGGGGTGTGAGTGCTAGACCACATTCACTTGATAGTACTATCTTTAAATATGTGGTTGATTCAGAGATTTCTGCATGGTGTATGCAAGGAGACTTATAGCAACTGCAAAAGGGGCGTGTGTGGTTGTTTTAGAGCAACTACAAAAGGAGTGTGTGTGGTTGTTTTAGAGCAACTACATAAGGGGTGTGAGTGCTAGACCACATCTACTTGATAGTACTATCTTTAAACATGCGGGTGATTTAGGGATTTCTGCATGGTGTATGTAAGGAGACTTAGAGCAACTACAAAAGGGGTGTGTGTGGTTGTTTTAGAGCAACTACAAAAGGGGTGTGAGTACTGGATCACATCACTACACATACATATATACATAATAGTTAATGCACACGTACGTTGCACGTGAAATGTATTTTATAGAAAATCATATATATTAAAGTCGTAAACCACAATTTTATAAATCCACTTGTTTGGTAAACATTAATAAATAATTAGCGACAAAACCACTAAACCCAAAAAAATACTAAAACAAATAATATTTCAAGTTGGCTCAAATACAT